AAGAAGAAGAAGAAGAAGAAGAAGAAGAAGAAGAAGAAGAAGAAGAAAGAGAAGGAGAAGGAGAAGGAGATGGAGAAGGAGAAGAAGAAGAAGAAGGAGGAGGAGGAGGAGAAGGAGAAGGAGAAGAAGAAGAAGAAGATTTCCTCCCAAGTCTTCTCCTCTCCAGAATAAACACCTCATGGATCATTTAGCCAATCTTCACATATGATGGACTCAAAGCCCTTCACCATCTTGATTCATAGGATCATAGATTTAAAGCTAGGAGGAACCTTAGTGATTATTTTCCTCTGGATGCTCTCAAGTAAATATCCTTCCTAAATGGTGGCACCCAGAACTTAACACAACACTCCATGTATGCTCTGACCAGGGCAGAGCATGATGGAACTCCCTCCTTCTTATTCCTATAGGCAGAGAACCTTGGTTCAAATCCAGCTCTTACTATGTCTGCAAGCATGGGCAAGTCACTTAGCCCCTCTGGGCCTTAGTTTCTTCATCTGTCAAATGGGAGCTTTGGATCAAGTCACCTAAGTCCCCTCCAGGTCTAAATCTATGATTTTGATTCAGCCTAAGACTATGTTACTTTCTATGGTTGTTCTATCACAGCACCGACTCACAATGAAGTTGTACAACATCCACTAAGACCTTTTTCAGACAAGTTGCGATGCAATCATTCCAAAGAACAAGTTTAACTCTATGTAAATCCTATTTGCAATGATTCTTACCTGTTCTTTCATTTGTACTGTCTCAAACTAGCCAAAACATTTAGTACCCAGAAAACAAGGGAACTTGAAATGCCAACTAAAGCAAGGGCCAATTTGCCAGCTTAGGAAAAAAAAGTGGGCTTTCTGCTTCTCTCAACCATTCAATTCTGAGATGGTTATTTTTTCCCTATAACCAATGTTTAATCTTTCCAAGCAACACCTGGAAATCTCCACTCTCCCCATATCAGCTAGTTTGCAGACTGTGTGCCCAGGGGCTGTTTGCCTAGCATCCCTGTGTTTTGATTCTCAGAAAAAAAAGTACTGGGACAGAACACTCTGTCATATCAACAAGTCTCCTCCAAGGTCTTGAGCAAGAGAAATTGGGACAGGAAGCAGACAGTGGCCTCCTCGCCCCAGGTAACTGCCTGATCATGTAAACAAACAGAGCACAATGGCTCCCTGTCTATCGGGTGATAAATATTTATATGCCAAACCTTGTGTTTGGGAGCACTAAAGTCATTCCTCAGATGGAGCTTTGACCTTTGGGATGCAAAACAGGGGAGTTGATTTTTACAGGTGATGTAATTAATTTCTGTGGCTCAAAGTTGTACAGTGAACAAGAGAAATGAATGTTGTTTTTTTGTTTTGTTTTTATCATTGCTTGGATAGTGACTCAGCAGGTAGGCACAGTTTAGAAGAAACAGTCTTCCGGGGCTGGGACTCATTTAGAATCAAAGTGCCAATACCCAGCCCTAGCCTTTTCTTGGTGGCAGCTTAGTGGGTGTCTCTAGAGTTTATGAATGCTCTTCCTAAGCTGTGGCACCCAGAACCAAACACGGCACTCCATACATGATCTGACAAGGACAGAGCACAGTGAAACTTTCACTTCCTCTGAGAGACCAAATGGCCAGGTAGCTTTGGATGAGTCTAAAAACCATGTTTTCTTGATGTTAGAGAAATTGGTGTCCATAGCTTCATAAAATCATAGATCTACAGTCACAGAAAGGCCTCGAGAGGTTAAGTGCCTTTCCCAAGGTCATAGATAGTAACTGACAGAGCTCAGAGACTGATTTTCACTTTGTTTCTTGAGTTCCAGAGCTGAACACAGACCCTTTTGTGTAGTAAAAAGGAGCTTAATAAATGCTTATTGGTTTAAGCAACTGAGGAGAGTATGATAGATGATGAAAACCAGGGAGAATAAAAGGATTGCTGTACAGCAGTGAGGGCCCAGCTGAAATTAGATAACAAAAATTTGGAGTGATTCCATTGTTGTATGACTTCTCTGAGAGTGTTCAGCCAGCAGTGAGCAGGAACAGAAAAGGCAGATGATGATGATGATGGCAGTAACCTGAGGGTGGGAGTTGACAAGATGTGACTGGTGATAGGACAAGGGGATGAGCAATTCTAAGAGAGCTGATTGTGTATCATTGAACTTGTCACCCAGAACATTCAGACTGTGGTGGAAAGGAAAAAGAGACTCAGGAAGCATGTATTGTACTATCACAAGGGAGGAGTGGAGGGCCTGGAGGCCACCAGGAAGACCAACAACAGGCTACCATGGGTGAGTCAGAAGGGGAGATTGAAAGAAAGAAGGTGCCTCTCAGGAAAATGGGAATTTCAGAGTTCTGGATGAGGGAGGTAGAATTATCCAATCAATTGAGATGCTAAGCTCTGGAGACCCAAAGACAAAAGTCAACAGTCCCTGATGTCAGGAATTTACATTCTAAAGAGGGAGACAACATATAGGCATAGAATATAATGGGAGTGGACTGACCTGTGTGACCCAGGCCTTGGAGAATATACAGACATTCCCTGCCTGGTTTCAATCCACATGATAATATGGAAGCTTGAGGGTGAGCCTAATTCCAGACATGAAGGGGTTTGTACTATGTGGTGATGATGATGATGATGATGAAGATGATGATCATGATGACATTTCTATGACACTTTAAGGTTTGAAAGCATTTTACATATACTAACCCATTTGATCTTCAGAAAGACCCTGGGAAGTAGGTGCTTTATAATCCCCATTTCACAGATGAGGAAACTGAGGCTGAAAAGTTAAGTGACTTGCTTTGGGTCACCCAGCTAAAGAGTGCTTGAGGTAGGATTTGAACTCAGTTCTTCCAAGTCCTGCACTCTAAGAATCGTCTAATTATTGGTAGAAGCTGGTAGAACTAACTGATGACTCAGGGTTGCTGAGCTGGATCAGCGGGTATGCAAAAGGGGTGGCTCACCTCTTCTTCATTCTCTTTCCTTTGTGGCTTCAGGTGAGGGAAGACTCCTTAAAATTTCCTCCCTGAGAATCGGGGGTAGGGGTGGGGGTGGAGAAGGTATCTGCCCTGTCTTCTACCTGACCACGGTGGTATGAGCATATGGCTGTCATTGTCTCTGTGTTTCTTCTTTCCTGATCTTAGGTGAATGGATATTCCATGACTGAAGTGTCCAAGCATGTGTCCTGTGAATGCAAGTCTTCCAAAGGTCCTATTAGAGTTAAAAGTTGAATGGCAGCAGTAATTGTAGCATCTGTTAGAGGGTCAATGGATAAATGCAGATGAATCTACAATGAGAGCAGAGAAACATACTGAGGGCAAATAGACATGGAGCCAACCAAAGAAAAGTAACTTAAGGACAAGAGGCCCTTCTTTGCTGAGAGAAATGCTGTACTCTAGAAAGCCAGTGACTTCAGAGCCCAGGTAGAGAGCTTAATGGAACTTCACAATGATGCTACAAAGGGAGAAAAGTACTTCCATTGAAGGAATTTTGAATTACCCTTTTATATTCTCTATACAGGTGCCTCACTACCATTACACATCAGGTTTTGACTCATTCTACCCATGGATATTGTATGTATTTGTGGAAGAATCTGCCCCGAGTTTTGGGGAAAATGTTTTTGTACCAACAATTCTTACTATGCTTTCTTAATAAATACCTTTTCTGAAAGCTAATGCAGTCAACTGTTGATTGTCAATGAGGAACACATCAGTGGGGGCTTAGAAGCTAGAGTGGTGAAATACATATTCCCTCAGGATTATTCCTATAACCCTAAGAGTAAGTATCAAATATCATTCTGTGTACCCAAAATCTCTAGTGCAAGTACAGATTAGGGGGAATACAATGAGCATCTACAAGATGTATAAAAAAATTAAGATAATAATTATGGGTAATTGTCATATCAAGGGCATGATCATCTTTGTGTGTGGCTAATATAGAGAGAAGATGGAAATCAAGATTGTTTAGGAAGCTGATGAATTCGGAGACCAGAGTGTTCAAGGGGACTTCAATGTGTATATTAATTTTTCAGATTGGTGGACTGGCGTAGGGTTGGAGAGGAAGGCCGTGAGAGAGCAGGGAGAATGAATGAGCTTGTCATGGCAAGAACTAGAAACTGTCATGGCAAGAACCACGGTTCACAACTTGGATCCATGTCAAGAGTTTTCTTTGAGGCACACATAGCTACAAGGGAACGCAGAAAAAAGAATTCTCCCCAAGCCAAGCATATAGGGAACTTTAACACTCTTAGACAAACAACTTGTTTTTGTCTCCAGCTGAGCTTGCAAATGAAGCAGGGCAATTTGTTTTGCTCTGTGGTTGGCCTTGCAAGCAGAGCGAGGTGAATTGTTGGCCTAGCAAGTGTAGCAGGATAAACCTTTCAAAAAAAAAAAAACAACTTTTTTTTGGCATGGTATGAGACCAAATTCTGAGAAATGTACGTGGCTGCTTATTTTTGCTGAATTGAAGGATAGTTTTAAGATAGCGTCACTAATGGACACTCTATGGGTGTCCATAATCTAAAGGCTGGTTTATGATGGCAACAAGGAGATGGAAGGCAACATGGTGTAGGAAATAGAGTGTTGGACTTGGAATCAAGAAGACCTGGGTTCGAATCCTACCTCAGATATTTATTTTCTGTGTAAATCTCTTAATCTCTCTGGGCTTCAGTTCCCTCATTTGTAAAATGAGAGAGTTATGCTAGATGATCTATAAGGATCCTTTCAGTTCTAAACCTGGGCTCCTATGGACTGGAGATAAAAATGGATAGATGGGCAAAGGGACAGTCTGGATATGAGTGAGGCGCAAGACATAGGACTGATATTTTTTTCCCAGAACTTCAGTGAGCATATAGGAAGGAGCACCCAGTTAGAGAGAGTAGCCAGGGATAAACCTTCTTTTAGGGTTTCCAGTATCCCAAGAAGATAAAAACAATTTGAAGGGAAGAGATGTAGGATAATGGGAGAGTTTGTTAGCAATAGACCAAGGGGCAACGGGGTATAATGGAGCATAAAATGGCATGGATCATGGAAGGGAAAGGGAGTATGGGGACAAGAGAATGAGGAGAGATAAGAGACAGATTGACAGGTAGACAGAAAGAGGGAGGGAGTGAGACAGAGACAGAGAGAGAGTCATCCATCCAGACAGAGAAGAGAAGAGGAGAGAGAGAAGAGAACAGGAGAGAGAAAAGAGAGAAGAGAGAGAAAAAGAGAGGGGAGAGAGAGAGAGAAAAGAGAGAGGAGAAAAGATTGAGAGAAGACAGAGATGATTTTCACTTCAGCAAATGTTGACTCTAAAATATGTTAATAAAGAGAGTGGGAAGTGGTAATTGCCTTCCACTGAAAGAGAAAAGACCAGTCTTTAGGATCAGTCATTGTCTAGGAGCCTGCAATCATTGAGCCTGAAGTCAGTGCAGGTCCTCACTGCCTCTGACTCTCAGATGGCTAGGGCACTTGTTGCAGAGAAAGAATAACGTGGTGAATAGGTCCCTGTGAACCAGGCTGAGCTCATGTTCCATATCCATTTTGGAATCCTATTCCGAGATGACAGGGGACGAGACACCCACTGGAGGTCCCCTTTGCATGGTTTAAGCACTCTGCTCCCAATCTCTAAGCCCCAAACCTCACCCCTGACCTTAGATGCTTGGGATCTGGGATGGCTTGAAATCAAGCTGGTACTGTTCCCCTGTATATGTATAAGCTAAGATGGCTAAGGCAAACCAAAGACCACAAGTGACATCATTTCATAGGACGCTTGGACATTCAAGCTTTGCAGGACTCCTAGAAAACACTCACAAGCAGACACGGCAAAGATAAGTGTATGCAGTCTCCCATGTCTACGCAAAAAATGTAGAAGACATCTTGAAAGAGCTTAACAAGCTCCCCCGGACATATATTCAGTTGTCTTCCATTAGAAGGTGGGCACAGTGCAGGATATTGAGAGATACATTGGGAAATAGGAGTCAGTTGAATGCAAGCCGCCAGGGCTACCATTAGCTTCTTCAGGACAGGGGTTGGGGTTTCTTGGTGGTTATTTGTTTTGCTGTCACACCCTTGCCCCAACTACCCTTCCCAGGCATGCCAGCCTCTTTGCTGCTCCCCCAGCACTTGACATTCATCTCATAACTGTATTTCTTTAGCCTGTGATTTCAACCTTCTTCCCTCAGCTTCTTAGGATCCCCAGCTCCCTTCAAGGCTCAGATCAAGCACCCCTTCTTCCACAAGGTCTTTTCTTATCTCCCCAGTGTCCTCCCATGACATTCACTTAATGCATATTTTCTGTTGGCTGATATGTGTTTAGATTACTTTCCTCAGCCCCTGGGGCCTTCTCCCTCTGTAATATTCCTCTGTCTGCCGGCCCCCTCCTTCTACTGATGAGTTCTTTTCAAGGCTTCCATTTTGGGGATAGACCCAGGACAGACATGCTTCAGTCTTGATTCTAAGGCCTTTGCCCGCATGCTCCCTCCACCTTGCCTTTTACGTGTTATCTTCCCCTGTTAGAATATAAGCTCTCTGAGGGCAGGTCTTTCTTTTTACTTGTATTTGTATTCCCAGTTCTTAGATTGGAACATAGTAAGCTCTTAATAAATGCTTGTCATCTACCCACCTTACAGTAGAATGTAAGCTCCTCAAGGGCAGGGATGATTTTCATTTTTGTCTGTATCACCGATGCCTGGCTCATTGTACGGACTGATCAAATGTTCATTGGACTGAACTGAGTTCAGGATGAAGAAATGAAAGTGGCCAAAGGCTTACGGTCTATTCAGAAGAGTCACCTCCATCTCCACCCCTTGCCCCACCCTACCACCCACCCCCATCTGTCCTGAGTACCTCAAGAGGAAGGCCAGAACTTATTAAATGTTGCAAGTGCCAAACTACATCATGGAAAGAAAAGGAAAAAAGGAAAAAATAATGGATTTTGTCTTATCCAATGGGGAACAGCTGATTGCTAACATGGGAGTCATCTCAGAATCAGTGTACGGGCAAATTATCAACAAGCTAGAGCCAAGGTCAAAGTCAATACCAAGTTAGAAGGAAAGATAAATAGAAGGAACTGTATGCAATCACAAGAACTCACTATAGCCTCTTTGCACAATGGAATGAGCAAATGAGTGAATGAATGAATGAATGAATGAATGAATGAAAGAAAAAGTATTACTTAAGCACGTACTTTGTGCCAAGCACTGCTCAGCATTGGGCTTGTGACCCGGTTCCTAAACTGCTCATGTGTTTCCTCTTTTGGCCTAGGTGGTATGTAGACTTTGCTCTTCACCCAAATGCTCCGCACCATCCTTTCTCATTCTGGTTTCTGTGTTTCCTCCTGAAAGTACATGTTCTTATTATACAGTGCCTTCCCCTTGATTTATCCTGTTTGTACCGTTTGTACCTTTCAGAGCCTCTATTCCTGTCATGAACACCATCCCACAAAATTTCAGGGATACCTCTGGAGTTGGTTCTCTCATCTCCCTGAATAGCTGAGCAAGGAATGCAAGGTTTGAGGCCTCTGAGGCAGGGAAAGGGCACCCAGTCTACCTGTAAGATCAAATTTTCCCCTTTGCGTCAGGATCTCAAGGGTAACTTACTTATTACCTGTACTTTGTGCATTTTGGTACAGATTTTGTACAATGAGGTCATGAATTTTCTGGTTCCTTCCTTTCTTGGATTTTGTCTTCTAGGAATTCTGGCCACCTCTAGGTCTTGGGGGAGGGGGTGAGAATGAGCCATATGGCCTCTGAGGTCCCTTAGATGATAGCTAGCATTTATATTGCATTGAAAGGTTTGCAAAGCACTTTTATATATGTTAGATCATTTAGTCCTCATAATGACCCCATGAGTGTCCAAGTGCTATGAATATCCCTACTTTGTTATTGTTGTTCAGTCATTTCAGTCATGTCTGACTTTTCATGACCCTGTTTGGGATCTTCTTGGCAAAGATAATGAAATGGTTTCCCATTTCCTTCTCCAGTTCATTTTACGGATGAGGAAACTGAGGCAAACAGGGTTATGTGATTTGCCTAGGGTCACATAGCTAGTAAGTGTCTGAGTCCAGATTTTAACACATGTCTTCCTGACTCCAGGCTTGGCATTCTATCCAATGTCCCACTTAGCTGTATTATTTCTATTTTACAGGTGAGGAAACTGAGGATCATAGGTATATGATGTGACACTAGTCACTGTCTCATTGGTTTTCTTGCCTCTATTATTATCCATAAGAAACTCTGTTTGCTCAGTGAGACATGAACAGACTCACTGTGAAGATTTTTTTTAAAGTTTAACATTTGAAAATGATAAAACTCTCGAGTATTTCCAGGTGCAAATATTCTTAGTCATTGATAAATATTAGAACTTTGGAGATGAAAGCATTTCCTCCTAGTAGAGTGCAGTTGACTCCAAGAACAGCAAGAAAGAAGGAAATGTTCCCTGTGGACAAAAGCAGAGGCCTTTAAGCCAACAGACAAAAGCTTTCAATGTGGTAGAAACATCTTTCTTCTGATTTACCAATTACCCTTTGAATGCAGATGAAACATGGGTTCCAGAAGACAAGGAGAACGGGAATAAATCCTTTGCTTTCTTATGCCTCTAATAGAATGTCTCTCTTGCTTGGACTCCACTGTTGCCTTTACCATCCAGAATTCTGCC